TTTATATATTATATATTAGAAACAAGATTAAAAAATCTTTTATTTTTTTTATTTATTTGTATATAAATTACATGTATTATAAAAATAATAATACATGTAATTTATATAAATAATCTTAGACTAGAAATCTAATTATCATTAATTATGATAATTAATTACTTATATAATTAATTATATTAATTATGATAATTAATCACTGTAAAATACAAAATATCTTTTTGATATGAATTTTTTCAATCTTTTTGAATATCTATTTTCTTAGAAAATTTATGCAATTCAATGGTTTAATTTTAAAAAATTTATATTTATAAAAGATTAAAAAAAGATTACATTATTACAAATTATTTATTAAAATTATATACAGCAATACCTAATTAATTATCACGATTAAGACTGAAACGCATCAATTATTCAAGGAGATATATATTCTGAAAATTGTTCATTTTTGATTTCATTCTCTTTATTGATTTTTGACAAAGAGTCTTGACTTTATTAACTTTATTAACAAAGAAAAAAAAAAAGAAAAACATTTCTTATGTACGAATTAAAAAAATGTTTTATAATAACATATTTATAACAAAAAATTATTAAGTTTTAGTTTCAGGAATTGATAAATTGATAACTGTGCTATAATTAAACAAATAAAAAGTGACAGCTAACTATTATTAGGCATTATTATGAACATTTTATATATATATATGTGTATATATGTATATAATATACATATAATTTACGTAACTATAACAAGACATCTTTTTTTTTTAAAATAAAAAAAATATAAATAAAATGTAAATGTAAATGATAAAAATGAATAGTTCAATGCAAGTTACATATCCAATATTTTTTAAATGAAGAATTATTTTTTTTTTCTACTTCAAATCCTTTTGTTTTATTCTACGTAAAAAAAATATTAAGATTGAAAAATTATTAATTTGCAAGATTTTAAAAAAATGATTTTATTGAAGATGCTTAAATATATTTACATTATATTCTGAACATTAAGCATAAACCATTTTTTAATTGTTTTCATAACAAATTCATAATTAAATTGATCTTTTTATTATTTTGATTTTAATCTTACTTAGTTTTTCATATCTTGTGCAAAAATATTTTTTAACTATTTCATAAGCTAGATTTTTTTCTTTAGGATTACTTGAAAAATATTATATTTTTCATATTATATTTATATTATATTTCTTTTATTTTTCATTTGTAATGTTTTTTTTATATTATTATGTTTATTTTGATTGTAAAAAATCGTATTTACAATCATGTATAAAAAATTTTAAATTTAATTAAAATATAAATAATAAATAAAATAAAAAATAAACAACGAGAAAGAAATAGAAATAAGAAATGTTTATATTATGTTATAGGAAAATATATGAACATTTCTTTCATTAAAAAGTTATTTTTTCAATTAAATTTTGCAGACTGTAATTTTTTAATTATATCTTAATATCTTTTTATGTAGAATATTGAAAGAATATGAAATATAACAAAAAGAAAGAAAGTTTTCATTTTTTTTCATTTCGTTTCATTTAAAAAAAAATTATGCAGCTACAAATAATATATGTATTTTTATATTTGCAGAAAAAATATTATCATGAGTCTGCATCAAACTATTCATCTTTTTTTTTTTAATACTTTTTTCTAACTTTGACAAAAAATATAGTTTCTTACAATTATTTTATATATAAAAATTAATTATAAATTAAAGGAATAGCTCCAATTATTTTGATTTTGTTAAGATTATCCTGAATAACTTCTTTTTTTGAATTTTGTATAGATGTATACATTCAATAATACTATAATGCAATATATGTGATTTAATATTATTATTTATACCTCATAATAAATAATATTCAAATCATATTTATATCATATCAAGAAGCTATTTTTTTCATTTTAATGAATTTCAAATATTTCAATTCTAATTCATAATGAATTTGAACATTTCAAAAAAATAAAATATAAAACAAAAAATTCTTGCATGACCAAAATTACAGTGAAATTATAACAATAAACATTAAATATATTGTTATCAATGTAACTTCATATTTTATTTTCATATATTCTTTTCTTTTCATGAATATTAAGTGCAATAATATTGTTTGTTATAAATTTTGGATACTAATTATCTTGATGTATTTATATTCTAAATACGTTATATAAATAGTAAATATTATATGTTAATGCATTTATTATTATCACAAATATGTGTGTATATATATAGTTATATGTAATAATATGTTATATGTAATAATAATCTCTTTTTTATAAATATCTTGAAAACTATAATAAACCGTCAATTAACTTATAAAAAAAATTATTAAGAATAATATCTTTGATAACATACATCAAGATGAACGCATTTTCTAATAATGTATAATTATCATATAAAAATATAAGATATATAAAATATATAATATGTAAAATAAATAAATATATAAAATAAATTTCGAAATTTAATTCTAATATTAAATAAATTTTTTTAATAAATATATTAATCAATAATATATAATTTTAAATAAAATGTTAAACATATTATGTTTATTTTTTTATAAAATATTCCATTATAAAAATAGTAAACTGTATATTCGAATATTTTATTTATTAATTTAATATATAATTATAATTACCAAAAGAATTAAGGAAATCAGTTATTTTTTTGATGCTACCAGTTATAACTTCGATATATTCTCGATTTGCCCAATCTTGCTGAATTTGCTTTTGGATAGCCTCTCGATGTATGGCAGCCATATTTGAAATATTTATTGGTATTATATTATATGGTATATATTATATGGTATTACATTTGATTGATTAGATTAGTAATATTACATATATTAAATATAATTTCATTAAATACATTTAAATGTTAATATAAAGTAATTTAAAATAATTAATAAATCAATAATATATACGCATAATATATAATATATTCATTAAAAATATTTTTATTTCATATCATATACGTAATAATTTCAATTTATCTCAATAAGTACAAGTACATGGTTTTACAGTTGGCAACATTTTATTACTACTCTGGTTTATTATTCATTCAGCAAATCGAATTACTAACTATAAATGCATATGAACAATACAGGTTTCATAATTGTCATATATAGTAACATTTTTAAATAGTATTGAAACTGGAATTTCTATTTTAATTTTAATAATGAATATAAAAACGGAATATAATTGTTTTTATAAAAAAATAAATATATTAAATTAAATCTAAATATATAT